AATGGAGAAATAGATATCACTCAAAAAGCCAGTATTCCTGTGATTGACAGTAATAACCTCAACAGAGAAGCACTTCACACTAAACTGAGAAAGAGATTTCACCTAGAGCCTCTCAAACAGCTTATAGAGCAAGGATATATCAGTGATTGTGTTATAATTGAGATAAGACAAGCCGTCGAAAGGGTAGAGGCCGACAGGACCGCCTCAAGGAAGAAAGAAGATAATCAGCCAAAGCTTACTGCTTTTTATATGAGCAGTACATGCTCTAATAGCAAAAAAATTGACAGTGACACAGACAGTGAGTCCACATCAACCTCATCTACAAATAATGATTCGGATAGTGGGATTGCATAACATGACTTTACGCATGTAATCATTTGTTAAAATGCCGATGAAAGTGTTTTAGTGTTACACAATAATAGATGTTGCGTTGATGCACCTACTATTTGAGCATTGAATCTTTTTGTTAAAATGCCGATGAAATTGTTTTAGTATTACACAATATAGGACTTTGTGCAAAGCGGAATCAAAATCAGGTCCTTTAATACTCAAGCATCATGCTGCTCAGTAGGGATGCTACTTAAAAGAAACTTGAAGACCCCCCCAAGGTCATCTTTTGGCATTTTAAGGCCCCCTATATTCCATCCAAAAATAATTGAAGGCCTCCCAATTTCTCCTCCACCTCCCCCCCCCCCTCCAACTTAAATTATGACTGGTCCCTAGAGTCAAAACTCAAAGCTGAAAGGTGAAAGGTGGTACCCTTGAAGGGTAGACGCCTCGCCTTTTACCTTTGACCTTCTTAATGGCGTTACTGTGTTACCCTTTTTTCCGGTCAACAATGTAACTTATCGAAGACAATAGTATAGAGATGAGTAAAATAGACAACTAACCACTGCATTTTCATTCGTATTAATTTACTAAAAATGTTTTGCGGTAAACTGTTATTAAGTAGTTTTGTGGTTATTTTGGAAATCATTATCACAAGGATTTTGACAGTTTCTTTATCCCCGAGAATTCGCTCGTGCTTAGGGTTTCGTTATGTTCAGGTTTAAAGATCAAGGTTAACCCGTATAATGTGTTAATAGGTTTTTTTGAGTGTTATTGCCTTTTTGATGGGTTTGTTGACCTAAGTGTCATTTATCTTAAGGATTAATTAAGGATGATTGTCAGTCTTTGAACTGGGCTCGTTTTGGGACGATAGCTGGCATGAATACCTACATGAGAGTTCCTGTTTGGGTTGAAGTTAGAGCCTCGTGGGTTTAGTTGTCAAGCTTTTATTGGTTTCCTCGTTCTTGAATTGTTCAATCTGAGGATCAGGAGTTTGCTTTTACCCACTTTTGTGATTAACCGGAAGTTTGAATAAGTCACTAAAAACGGCGTTTGTAACTCTCATGGTCAGCAAGGCTGAACGTACCTACGTTTTACTTAAATAAGTTGCCAGTTTTTGGCTTAGAGGTCGTCAGCAGTTTTTGGTTAGTTAGTGCTACTTATTTAGTTGAACCAGTTAGTGTTGCTGACGGACATTAAATGGTCCTAATCCTGGTAAATTCTTGCTAGAGTGATATCCCCTTGAAGAAACCATCTTACAAAACAAAGGAAATAGCATTTCCGAGACCCTAAATTTGCAACGTTTACGTTCTTGAATCGCATTTAACCATTTATTAACATTTCACTACCGTATATGCGATTTTTTTCCAGCGCTTTTGTCATCTAATCGCGTTTATTTCTGCTTTGCATCTTTACAATCATTTTAAAATTTTAAAAAGTGTTATTAAAACACCATTTTTAAAATTTATTATCCAAGCCATGCAGTTTTAACATCATAGTTTAGAATTTAACATACATTTCATAGTGTTACTAAAAATATACTAGACTTTGCTTATTAAAAAATATTTTCGTTTAATCCAGTTCAAGGTGTCATCCCAAATTAAATAGTTTTTAACGAATGCGGGCAAGGGAAGATTATTAGTGACACTTTATTAATGCTGTGCACTTTGCTTGATCCATAGCTCTAGAATATAACTCCGTTCCCGAAATTAATTGGGGATCATTTCGGGCTCGAAGTGAGGAAAAATGTGGATCATTTCAGGGTCGATTTGGGGACCTTTTAGGGTTGGGGATCATTTCAGGGTCACGATCATTTCGGGGACTGTACATAGTGTCTTCAGCGCCCTAGCATTTCTTCCCGTGCGTCTAACTTCGAATTCTCAAGTTACGCCCCTGATACAGCGTATTATCATGTGAAATTGCACAAACGAGTAGAGGGAACGTCGGTTTTCCCTGCTAGTTTTTATCTGTTATGTCAAAGCCTGATTTTAAGGAAATGTAAATGGAATTTAGTACATGATTAAAGATTTTATAGAGAAATTCATGTTACCATGACGATTATAAAATTAAAGAAAACAAGAAATTTATTCATCCCTTAAATAGGTGAGTATAAAATTGCTGAGCTTTGCTTTAAAGAGTGAAAATCCACTGATCTGGTGTTCTGATGGTTTTCTTGCAAAGTGGATCATTTGCTTCATTTCAATTAAAAGGCGACCAGCGAATAAAACCAAAATTGCCCATTCAAGAACACTAAACGACAGTTGAGAAGACTCAACACTCCAAGCCAAATGCAGCCCCAGCAGTATCAAGTAGCTTATAGTGTCCCGTACGAAGATGAAACAGGGAATCTTGGAAAATTTCTTGTATTTTTCCCGTTTCCCTGTGGA